TGGGTTAGAGATTATAGACTGGGTTAGAGGATATATACGGTACGCTGGGTTATACGAGGATTAACTGTACGATGGTGTAGAGGATTTTGGCAGATTATAACTGTACGCTGGGTTAGGAGGATTATTACTGACGGTACACTGGGTTAGAGTGGGTTAGAGGATTATACTGTAATGTTTGGTGGGTTAGATGATTATACTGTAATGTTTGGTGGGTTAGAGGATTATACTGTACTGTACACTGGGTTACAGCATTATAATGTACTGTACACTGGGTTAGAGGATTATACTGTAATGTTTGGTGGGTTAGATGATTATACTGTAATGTTTGGTGGGTTAGAGGATTATACTGTACGCTGGGTTAGAGGATTGTACTGTACTGTACGCTGGGTTATAGGATTAAACTGTACCATATTCAGAGTTACAGGATTATACTTCACTGTTCCCTGGGTTACAGGATTATACTGTACTCTATGCTGGGTTAGAGGATTATACTGTACTGTGCTATACGTTAGGTTAGAGGATTATACTGTACTGTACTCTGGGTTAGATGTTTATACTGTTCTGTACTCTAAATGTACCGGATTATACTGTAACATATGCTAGGTTAGAGGATTATACTGTGCTGTACGCTGGGTTATAGGATTATACTAAACTTTATGGTGAGTTAAAGGATTATAATGTACTGTACACTGGCTAAAATTACTATACTGTATTGTACACTGATGAGGGGTTCATATCCCCTCATCAGTACCTGTAGAAGTGTTCCCTCTTCCCCCTTGTCTTTGTGTGTGATTGTTTATTGTGAGGAGAGTGAAGCTCGGTTGAGCTCCTTGTATTTGGTATCACCAGGTTATTTTCCCTGTGTGCCTGTTTGGTTCCAGTGCACCTGTTTTGCCCACTGGACTGTTTTGACGCATTACTGCGTAACTCTGTATTCCGGAATAAATCCTGTTATTCTGTGATTTACCCTCCTGCGCCTGACTCCTTCAAATCACCCATCATGCTTTGAGTACTTGTCCTGGTATTCTGTCTGTCCCTGCGGCCTTGTGAATGTTAACTATAGAAGGCCTAACTATGATATTATTACTAGGGGTGTGCGGAGTAGTAGGACAAAACAAGTATCGTAACGGATATCGGCAATTCTATGGATACGATTATGAACAGAGTATTTTTTGTAATTTTCTGTGATCTGGGAGAAAAACAAATATTTGGGTGCCAGCACGCATCTTTCTCATGTCAGTCAGTCAAGTGAGCTGCTATGTGGTCTAAATAAACTCAACTGGCTAGTTTGCCTGTCTATAAGAGAAGGGTGGGCTGTACGTTGATCCTGCTGCTCTGATTGGATAGAGTAAAGCTGTATTTCTCCGTCCACACACTTCATCATTTCACCTGATCAGTTTTTCTCTCATGTTTTTGGTCTGATCATTTAGATTGCTGGTGCCTGTTACTATTACAAATCACATGACGAGGACGTTTGTTATCAAGCTAACAAGCGGGGCGAGGGTAGGGAACAAATATTAAACACTGATGCACAATCTGACTGAGTGAAAGCAAACTTGGCTGCCCGCTGCAAGATGAGGACACACAGACACATACACCCCTTCGCGCGCTGCTCCTAATCCGCAGCGTTTTTGCAGTGAGAACATGCAGGGAGGTATTTTGCGAACATATAATTAGGCATATTAAAACACTTTAGTTTTTTCAGATCATGAGCATCATCCGATCCGATCCAACTATCAACTGTCAATTTACGGATATGATTACGAATACAAGTATAGCCATGTCGGCACACCCCTAATGTTTAAAGGTCTTACTCACATCGGTTATGGAGAGCGAGATCACTCAGTCGTCCGGAACAGCTGGTGCTCTCATGCATGGTTCAGTGTTGCTTGCCTCGAAGCGAGCATAGAATGCATTTAGTTTGTCTGGGAGGTTTGCGTCACTGGGCCACTCAGGCTGGGTTTCCCTTTGTAATCCGTAATAGTCTGCAAACCCTGCCACATCCGATGAGCATTTGAGCCGGTGTAGTAGGACTCTATCTTAGTCCATGTCTGTTCCTTGAAAGCGGTAGCTCTAGCCTTTAACGTGGTATGGATACTGCCATAAATCCATTGCTTTTGGTTAGGGTACGTACGTACGGTCACTGTGGGGACGACGTCGTTGATGCACTTATTGATGAAGCCCGTGACTGATGTGGTAAAACTCCTCAATGCTGTTGGATGAATCCCGGAACATATCCCAGTCTGTGCTAGCAGAGCAGTCTTATAGCTTAGCATCCACTTCGTCGGACTGCTTCCGTGCTGAGCGTACTGAGCTCGTCACTGGTACTTCCTGTTTGAGTTTTTGCTTATAAACAGGAAGCAGGAGGAGAGATTCGTGGTCTGCAATTTACCATGATGTATTCTAGTTTGGATCAGCAAAAGCTGAAGACTTCCTTCACACTTGAAGCAGCACACCAGTTGTTGTTTACAAAGAGGCACACCCCTCCCCCTTTGGTTTTACCTGAGTCCGCTGTCCGGTCGTGACGAAGCATGGAGAAACCCTAGAGTTTTATGTCCATATCGTCCGTCAGTGGGCTTGGGCGGTATTCAGATTGTCATACCTTCATACCGACCTTGTGCCATATCGGGATATTCGGTAATACCGGCACTGAACACAAGGAGCGCTGTTTTCAAACCCTACTGATACTCTGTAATCCGTAGGTTAGCAATGCTAACAAGTACATGTAAAATCCCATAGAGAATACTAACTAAATGCTAACGAGCACATTGCGAATATTTTTACAGTTTCTGATCTAAACTATACAAGTAACTCAAAAATGCTACTCCCAGTTTGCTGAATGCACAAAACAAATATTAGCCAGCAAGGCTCTTGATCCAGGAGGGGATTCTCTGCTGTTACCAAGTAAATGCTTGATTTTGGAAGAAGCCAACCACTTAGCTAGATAGCTAACTAGCTACTAAATTAGCAACCCAGACGCACAACTGCAGAGCATTTAGCACATTTTAGACAGTTACCTTAATAGTTATAATATATCTAGCTGGAAAACATTTATTTGTGAATTCAATACTGTAATTAGATCACCTGACGCATGTGACCACAGTGAGTGACACACAAGACTCCGGTCTCTCGTTGTTGTATGCTTATGAACAAACATCAAGTGACACGTGACTGGGGACTACTGAAAGCTTCATAATAATGTGACAGTTGAAATTAAGAAAGCAATATTCTTTATCTCCTAATGTATTGCACAAGTTGACTGCAGGTATTTACTTAAAAAGTAGCTACAAATATTACAAATATTTTGTTTAACTTCAAAGAAAAAGTTTCAACGGTATTAAAAAACCATCCCTTGGCTTTTTCCAAATACCATGCTATAGGGCACATACGGTATATCGCCCAAGCCTATCAGCCAAGTTTCTGAAAAGTATAGAATATAATTTCCTGTTCTATAATGACTGGTTCTATAATGACTGGTTCTCTAATGACTGGTTCTCTAAATACTGGTTCTATAATGACTAGTTCTCTAATGACTGGTTCTCTAATGACTGGTTCTCTAATGACTGGTTCTCTAATGACTGGTTCTCTAATGACTAGTTCTCTAATGACTGGTTCTCTAATGACTAGTTCTCTAATGACTGGTTCTCTAATGACTGGTTCTATAATGGCTGGTTCTTTAATGACTGGTTCTCTGAAGACTGGTTCTATAATGACTATTTCTCTAATGTAAAAACAGATTTTAAAAAACACAGTGGGGACTGTGAAGCAACACAAACATAGACACAGACACATGCAAACACACACACAATATAACATACACACTATACACACAAGGTACACATGGATTATGTATTAGTATGTATATATGTGGTAGTGGAGTAGGGGCCTGAGGGCACACAGTGTGTTGTGAAATCTGTGAATGTATTGTAATGTTTTTAAAATTGTAGCTACCTTGGCAGGAACTAATGGGGATCCATAATACATACAAATACAAATGGTTCTCTAATGACTGGTTCTTTGATGACTGTTTGTCTTCCACAGAGAGGGGATCTGTAAGTGTGGTTACCAGAGGATCCACCATGTTGATGACTCTATCAAACCTGAGAACTGCCTGGGAGAGACATGGGCCAGACACCGACAGGAGGTCCCTACTGACGCTTATGGAGACATCAGGTTTGGTGACCTGGGACAGAAGATTGGCAAGGTACAAATTAAATCTGAATTTCAGTGAATTCATGTTAAGATGTATTCATTGTTGTCTTTTGTGTGTTAATACATGTATATGTGTCTGTCTGTGTGTCTGTGCCGTTCTGTGTGCTCTCCAGTACGTGCGTGTCTCCTCAGACACTTCTCCAGAACTGCTGTACCAGCTGCTGACAGAACAGTGGAAGCTCCCTCCTCCCAACCTGATCATCTCTGTCACCGGCGGGGCCAAGAACTTCTACATGAAACCTCACCTCACAGCACTGTTCCGCAGGGGCCTCATCAAAGTGGCACAGACTACAGGTAGAGTACTGACCTGACTACAAGTAACAACAGACTACAGGTAGAGTACTGACCTGACTACAGGTAACAACAGACTACAGGTAGAGTACTGACCTGACTACAGGTAACAACAGACTACAGGTAGAGTACTGACCTGACTACAGGTAACAACAGACTACAGGTGCAGTACTGACCTGACTACAGGTAACAACAGACTACAGGTAGAGTACTGACCTGACTACAGGTAACAACAGACTACAGGTAGTACTGACCTGACTACAGGTAACAACAGACTACAGGTAGAGTACTGACCTGACTACAGGTAACAACAGACTACAGGTAGAGTACTGACCTGACTACAGGTAACAACAGACTACAGGTAGAGTACTGACCTGACTACAGGTAACAACAGACTACAGGTAGAGTACTGACCTGACTACAGGTAACAACAGACTACAGGTAGAGTACTGACCTGACTACAGGTAACAACAGACTACAGGTAGAGTACTGACCTGACTACAGGTAACAACAGACTACAGGTAGAGTACTGACCTGACTACAGGTAACAACAGACACAGGTAGAGTACTGACCTGACTACAGTAACAACAGACTACAGGTAGAGTACTGACCTGACTACAGGTAACAACAGACTACAGGTAGAGTACTGACCTGACTACAGGTATAACTGACCTGACTACAGTAACAACAGACTACAGGTCGAGTACTGACCTGACTACAGGTAACAACAGACTACAGGTGAGTACTGACCTGACTACAGGTAACAACAGACTACAGGTGCAGTACTGACCTGACTACAGGTAACAACAGACTACAGGTGGAGTACTGACCTGACTACAGGTAACAACAGACTACAGGTGCAGTACTGACCTGACTACAGGTAACAACAGACTACAGGTGACAGTACTGACCTGACTACAGGTAACAACAGACTACAGGTAGAGTACTGACCTGACTACAGGTAACAACAGACTACAGGTAGAGTACTGACCTGACTACAGGTAACAACAGACTACAGGTAGAGTACTGACCTGACTACAGGTAACAACAGACTACAGGTAGAGTACTGACCTGACTACAGGTAACAACAGACTACAGGTAGAGTACTGACCTGACTACAGGTAACAACAGACTACAGGTAGAGTACTGACCTGACTACAGGTAACAACAGACTACAGGTAGAGTACTGACCTGACTACAGGTAACAACAGACTACAGGTTAGAGTACTGACCTGACTACAGGTAACAACAGACTACAGGTAGAGTACTGACCTGACTACAGGTAAACAACAGACTACAGGTGCAGTACTGACCTGACTACAGGTAACAACAGACTACAGGTGGAGTACTGACCTGACTACAGGTAACAACAGACTACAGGTGCAGTACTGACCTGACTACAGGTAACAACAGACTACAGGTGCAGTACTGACCTGACTACAGGTAACAACAGACTACAGATAGAGTACTGACCTGACTACAGGTAACAACAGACTACAGGTAGAGTACTGACCTGACTACAGGTAACAACAGACTACAGGTAGAGTACTGACCTGACTACAGGTAACAACAGACTACAGGTAGAGTACTGACCTGACTACAGGTAACAACAGACTACAGGTAGAGTACTGACCTGACTACAGGGAACAACAGACTACAGGTGCAGTACTGACCTGACTACAGGTAACAACAGACTACAGGTAGAGTACTGACCTGACTACAGGTAACAACAGACTACAGGTAGGGTACTGACCTGACTACAGGTAACAACAGACTACAGGTAGAGTACTGACCTGACTACAGGTAACAACAGACTACAGGTAGAGTACTGACCTGACTACAGTAACAACAGACTACAGGTAGAGTACTGACCTGACTACAGGTAACAACAGACTACAGGTAGAGTACTGACCTGACTACAGGTAACAACAGACTACAGGTAGAGTACTGACCTGACTACAGGTAACAACAGACTACAGGTAGAGTACTGACCTGACTACAGGTAACAAACAGACTACAGGTAGAGTACTGACCTGACTACAGGTAACAACAGACTACAGGTGCAGTACTGACCTGACTACAGGTAACAACAGACTACAGGTAGAGTACTGACCTGACTACAGGTAACAACAGACTACAGGTGCAGTACTGACCTGACTACAGGTAACAACAGACTACAGGTAGAGTACTGACCTGACTACAGGTAACAACAGACTACAGGTAGAGTACTGACCTGACTACAGGTAACAACAGACTACAGGTGCAGTACTGACCTGACTACAGGTAACAACAGACTACAGGTAGAGTACTGACCTGACTACAGGTAACAACAGACTCGCCTGACTGACTGGCTCCAAACTACAGGTACAAGATAGGTCCAACAATATTGATCGTAATTGTATTTAGTTTAGGGTACAGTAAGCCTCAAAGAAAAGCAGAAACTTCACACTGCTCTTGCTAGTATCACTTATTTTATTCAAGCTTACACGCCTCTACCTCTTGGCCTTCGTCAGAGCTTTTTATAGGTGCAGTAAGCCTGATCTGCTTCTCTTCCCCGTGGCAGACTTGTGGTACTGTCCTCTGTTGGTTTTGGGTGGAGAGTGCTGTTGTGTGCAGAATGTCCCTGGTTTGAGCCCTATTGTCGGTTGTCATGGCCTGTTGTCATGGCCTGTTGTCATGGCCTATGGTCTGTTGTCATGGCCTGTTGTCATGGCCTATGGTCTGTTGTCATGGTCTGTGGTCTATTGTCATGGCCTGTTGTCATGGCCTGTGGTCTGTTGTCATGGCCTGTGGTCTGTTGTCATGGCCTGTGGTCTGTTGTCATGGCCTGTGGTCTGTTGTCATGGCCTGTGGTATGTTGGCATGGCCTGTGGTCTGTTGTCATGGCCTGTGGTCTGTTGTCATGGCCTGTGGTCTGTTGTCATGGCCTGTGGTCTGTTGTCATGGTCTGTGGTCTATTGTCATGGCCTGTTGTCATGGCCTGTGGTCTGTTGTCATGGCCTGTGGTATGTTGTCATGGCCTGTGGTCTGTTGTCATGGCCTGTGGTCTGTTGTCATAGCCTGTGGTCTGTTGGCATGGCCTGTGATCTGTTGTCATGGCCTGTGGTCTGTGGTCTGTTGTCATGGCCTGTGGTCTGTGGTCTGTTGTCATGGCCTGTGGTCTGTTGGCATGGCCTGTGATCTGTTGTCATGGCCTGTGGTCTGTGGTCTGTTGTCATGGCCTGTGGTCTGTGGTCTGTTCATGATTAACGACTCATGGTGTAATTGTAGTAATATACAGGAACTCGAGTCCTTCTGTTCACCCGACCTAGAATACCTCACAATCAAATGCCGACCGTATTATCTCCCAAGAGAATTCTCTTCGGTTATAGTCCCGGCCGTGTATATCCCCCCTCAAGCCGATACCACGACGGCCCTCAAAGAACTTCACTGGACTTTATGCAAACCACATATCCTGAGGCTGCATTTATTGTAGCCGGGGATTTTAACAAAGCAAATTTGAGGACTAGGCTGCCGAAGTTCTATCAACATATCGACTGTTGTACACGGGCTGCTAAAATCCTCTTCCATTGCTGTTCGAACTTCCGGGATGGTTATAAGGCCCTCCCCCGCCCTCCTTTCGGCAAATCTGACCACGTCTCCATTTTGTTCCTCCCTTCCTATAGGCAGAAACTCAAACAGGAAGTACCCATGCTAAGGACTATTCAACGCTGGTCTGACCAATCGGAATCCACGCTTCAAGATTGTTTTGATCACGCGGACTGGGATATGTTCCGGGTAGTTTCTGAAAATAATTTAGACATATACACTGAAACGGTGACTGAGTTTATCAGGAAGTGTATAGGTGATGTTGTGCCCACTGTGACTATTAAAATCTACCCTAACCAGAAACCGTGGACAGATGGCAGCATTCACACAAAACTGAAAGCGCGAACCACCGCATTCAACCATGGCAAGGTGACTGGGAATATGGCAGAATACAAACAGTGTAGCTATTCCCTCCTTAAGGCAATTAAACTGGCAAGACATCAGTATAGAGACAAAGTGGAGTCGCAATTCAACGGCTCAGACACGAGACGTATGTGGCAGGGTCTACAGACAATCACGGACTACAAAAAGAAAACCAGCCACGTCGCCGACACCGACGTCTCGCTTCCAGACAAGCTAAATACCTTCTTCCCCCGCTTTGAGGATAACACAGTGCCACCGACGAGGCCCACTACCAAGGACTGTGGCCTCTCCTTCTCCATGGCCGACGTGATTAAGACATTTAAGCATGTTAACCCTCGCAAGGCTGCCGGCCCAGATGGCATCCCTAGCCGCGTCCTCAGAGCATGCGCAGACCAGCTGGCTGGTGTGTTTACGGACATATTCAATCTCTCCCTTTCCCAGTCTGCTGTTCCCACATGCTTCAAGATGGCCACCATTGTTCCTGTACCCAAGAAAGCAAAGGTAACTGAACTAAATGACTATCGCCCTGTAGCACTCACCTCATCATGAAGTGCTTTGAGAGATTAGTCAAGGATCATATCACCTCTACCTTACCTGTCAACCTAGACCCACTCCAATTTGCATACCGCCCCAATCGATCCACAGACGATGCAATCGCCATCACACTGCCCACTGCCCTATCCCATCTGGACAAGAGGAATACCTATGTAAGAATGCTGCTCATTGACTATAGCTCAGCATTCAACACCATAGTACCCTCCAAGCTCATCATTAAGCTCGAGGCCCTGGGTCTGAACCCCGACCTGTGCAACTGGGTCCTGGACTTCCTGACGGGCCGCCCCCAGGTGGTGAAGGTAGGAAACAACATCTCCACTTCGCTGATCCTCAACACTGGGGCCCCACAAGGGTGCGTGCTCAGCCCCCTCCTGTACTCCCTGTTCACCCATGACTGCGTGGCCATGCACGCCTCCAACTCAATCATCAAGTTAGCAGACGACACAACAGTCGTAGGCCTGATTACCAACAATGACGAGACAGCCTACAGGGAGGAGGTGAGGGCTCTGGGAGTGTGGTGCCAGGAAATAACCTCTCACTCAACATTAACAAAACAAAGAAGATAATCGTGGATTTCAGGAAACAGCAGAGGGTGCACTCCCCTATCCACATCGACGTGACCGTAGTGGAGAAGGTGGAAAGCTTCAAGTTCCTTGGCGTACACGTCACTGACAAACTGAAATGGTCCACCCACACAGACAGTGTGGTGAAGAAGGCGCAACAGAGCCTCTTCAACCTCAGGAGGCTGAAGAAATTCGGCTTAGCACCTAAAACCATCACAAACTTATACAGATGCACAATTGAGAGCATCTTGTCGGGCTGTATCACCGCTTGGTACGGCAACTGCACCGCCCGCAACCACAGGGCTCTCCAGAGGGTGGTGCGGTCTGCCCAACGCATTACCGGGGGCAAACTACCCGCCCTCCAAGACACATACAGCACCCGATGTCACAGGAAGGCCAAAAAGATAATCAAGGACATCAACCACCCGAGCCACTGCCTGTTCACCCCGCTATCATCCAGAAGGCGAGGTCAGTACAGGTGCATCAAAGCTGGGACCGAGAGAATGAAAAACAGCTTCTATCTCAAGGCCATCAGACTGTTAAATAGCCATCACTAGCACATTAGAGGCTGCTGCTGCCTATTGAAATCACTGGCCACTTTAAGAAATGGAACACTAGTCACTTTAATAATGTTTCCATATCTTGCACTACTCATCTCATATGTATATACTGTATTCTATTCTATAATATTCTACTGTATCTTAGTCCATGCCGCTCTGTCATTGCTTGTCCATATATGTATATATTCTTAAATTCCATTCCTTACTTAGAGTTGTGTGTATTGGGTATATGTTGTGAAATTGTTAGATATTACTTGTTAGATATTACTGCACTGTCGGAGCTAGAAGCACAAGCATTTCGCTACACCCGCTATAACATCTGCTAAACACGTGTATGTGACAAATACAATTTGATTTGATTTGTTGTCATGGCCTGTGGTCTGTGGTCTGTGGTCTGTTGTCATGGCCTGTGGTCTGTTGTCATGTCCTGTTGTCATGGCCTGTTGTCATGGCCTGTGGTCTGTTGTCATGGCCTGTTGTCATGGCCTGTGGTCTGTTGTCATGGCCTGTTGTCATGGCCTGTGGTCTGTTGTCATGGCCTGTTGTCATGGCCTGTGGTCTGTTGTCATGGCCTGTTGTCATGGCCTGTGGTCTGTTGTCATGTCCTGTTGTCATGGCCTGTGGTCTGTGCAGGAGCATGGTTAACCTGTAACTTGTTAACCTGTGTTCATTATAGGTGCCTGGATCATTACAGGTGGCACACATGCAGGTGTGATGAAGCATGTAGGCCAGGCGGTGAGGGATTACATCCTCAGCAGTGACTCTATGGCGGGGCAAATAGTGGCCATTGGAGTGGCGACCTGGGGAGCCATACACAACAGAAGAACCCTGGTACACCCTGAGGTAAGGACTGGAGAGAGAGAGAGAGAGAGAGAGAGAGAGAGAGAGAGAGAGAGAGAGAGTTATAGAGCCGAGATATGAACTGAAGAGAGAGAGAGAGAGTTATACAGCTGAGATGCAGTGCATTTGGAAAGTTATTCAGAACACTTCCCTTTTTCCAAATGTTGTTACGTTACAGACTTATTCAAAAATGGATTAAAAATAAAAAAATCCTCATCAATCTACACACAATAATGACAAAGCGAAAACAGGTTTATATAAATTTTTGCACATTTATTAAAATGAAATACCTTATTTACATAACTATTCAGACCCTTTGCTATGAGACTTGAAATTGAGCAGGTGCATCCTGTTTCCATTGATATTTTATTTATTTATTATTATTTTATTTTTTAGTCATTTAGCAGACGCTCTTATCCAGAGCGACTTACAGTTAGTGAGTGCATACATTATTTTTTTATTTTTCATACTGGCCCCCCGTGGGAATCGAACCCACAACCCTGGCATTGCAAACGCCATGCTCTACCAACTGAGCTACATCCCTGCCGGCCATTCCCTCCCCTACCCTGGACGATGCTGTGCCAATTGTGCGCCGCCCCATGAGCATTCATCCTTGAGATGTTTCTAAAACTTGATTGGAATCCACCTGTGGTAAATTCAATTGATTGGACATGATTTGGAAAGGCACACACCTGTCTATATAAGGTCCCACAGTTGACAGTGCATGTCAGAGCAAAAACCAAGCCATGAGGTGGAAGGAATTGTCCGTAGAGCTCCGAGACAGGATTGTGTCGAGGCACAGATCTGGGGAAGGGTACCAAAACATTTCTGCAGCATTGAAGGTCCCCAAGAACACAGTGGCCTCCATCATTCTTAAGTGGAAGAAGTTTGGAACCACCAAGACTCTTCCTAGAGCTGGCCGCCTGGCCAAACTGAGCAATCAGGGGAGAAGGGCCTTGGTCAGGGAGGTGACCAAGAACCCGATGGTCACTCTGACAGAGCTCCAGAGTTTCCTATGTGGAGATGGGAGAACCTTCCAGAAGGACAGCCATCTCTGCAGCACTCCACCAATCAGGCCTTTATGGTAGAGTGGCCAGACGTAAGCCACTCCTCAGTAAAAGGCATATGACAGCCCGCTTGGAGTTTGCCAAAATGCACCTAAAGGACTCAGACCATGAGAAACAAGATTCTCTGGTCTGATGAAACCAAGATTGAACTCTTTGGCCTGAATGCCAAGCGTCACATCTGGAGGAAACCTGGCACCATCCCTATGGCGAACCATGGTGGTGGCAGCATCATGCTGTGGGGATGTTTTTCAGCGGCAGGGACTGGGAGACTAGTCAGGATCAAGGGAAAGATGACGGAGCAAAGTACAGAGAGATCTTTGATGAAAACCTGCACCAGAGCGCTCAGGACCTCAGACTGGGTCAAAGGTTCACCTTCCAACAGGAACAACCCTAAGCACACAACCAAGACAACGCATGAGTGGCTTCGGGACAAGTCTCTGAATGTCCTTGAGTGGCCCAGCCAGAGCTCGGACTTGAACCCGATCGAACATCTCTGGAGAGACCTGAAAATAGCTGTGCAGAGACGCTCCCCATCCAACCTGACAGAGCTTGAGAGGATCTGCAGAGAAGAATGGGAGAATCTCCCCAAATGCAGGTGTGACAAGCTTGTAGCGTCATACCCAAGAAGACTTGAGGCTGTAATCGCTGCCAAAGGTGCTTCAACAAAGTACTGAGTAAAGTGTCTGAATATTTATGTAAATGTGATATTTCAGTTTTTTATTTTTAATACATTTGCAGAAATGTATAAAAACCTGTTTTTGCTTTGTCATTATGGGGTATTGTGTGTAGATTGATGAGGGAAAAAAACAATTTAATCAATTTTTGAAGAAGGCTGTAACGTAACAAAATGTGGAAAAAGTCAAGGGGTCTGAATACATTCCGAATGCACTGTATCTCAACAGAGAAAAATGTCCTGTGTGCTACCTATATCCCCCCACTAGAATCCCCATACTTTAATGAAGACAGCTTCTCCATCCTGGAGTGGGAAATCAATAATTTCCAGGCCCAGGGACATGTACTAGTCTGTGGCGATCTAAATGCCAGAACTGGATAAGAACCTGACACCCTCAGCACACAGGGGGACAAACATCTACCTGGAGGTGACAGCATTCCCTCCCCATATGCCCCCCTAGGCACAACTATGACAACATAACCAACCAAAACTGGTCACAACTCCTGCAGCTCTGTCGCACGCTGGGTCTGTACATAGTCAATGGTTGTCTTCGAGGGGACTCCTACGGTAGGTACACCTATAGCTCATCTCTTGGCAGTAGTACTGTAGACTACTTTATCACTGACCTCAACCCAGAGTCTCTCAGAGCGTTCACAGTCAGCCCACTGACACCCCTATCAGACCACAGCAAAATCACAGTCTACTTGAACAGAGCAATACTCAATCATGAGGCATCAAAGCCAAAGGAACTGAATAATATTAAGAAATGCTATAGATGGAAGGAAGGTAGTGTGGAAACCTACTGAAAAACAATTAGGCAACAACAAATTCAATTACTTTTAGACAACTTCCTGGACAAAATGTTTCACAGTAATGGTGAAGGTGTAAAGTTGGCAGTAGAAAACCTAAACAGTATATTCGACCTCTCAGCTTCCCTATCAAATCTTCAACATTTCAAGCAGACAACCTAAGAAAATTAACAACAATGACAAATGGTTTGATGAAGAATGTAAAAACCTAAGAAAGAAATTGAGAAACCTATCCAACCAAAAACACAGAGACCCAGAAAACCTGAGCCTTCACTATGGTGAATCACTAAAGCAATACAGAAATATACTACGGAAAAAGGAGGAACAGCATGTCAGAAATCAGCTCAATGTAATTGAAGAATCCATAGAATCTAATCAAATCAAAATATACAGTATGTATCCAAATCGGAAATATATAGATAAACCACTTCTCCAATCTGTTTTGCTCTATAATAAAGAACAAACAGCAAAAACATATACATGATCAAATACAAATCTTAGAATCAACTATTAAAGACTACCAGAACCCACTGGATTCTCCAATTACATTGGATGAACTACAGGACAAAATACAAACCCTCCAACCCAAAAAGGCCTGTGGTTGCGATGGTATCATCAATGAAATGATCAAATATACAGATCACAAATTCCAATTGGCTATACTTCAACTCTTTAACATCATCCTCAGCTCTGGCATCTTCCCCAATATTTGGAACCAAGGACTGATCACCCCAATCCACAAAAGTGGAGACAAATTTGACCCCAATAACTACCATGGGATATGCGTCAACAGCAACCTTGGGAAAATCCTCTGCAATATCATTAACAGCAGACTGGTACATTTCCTCAGTGAAAACAATGTACTGAGCAAATGTCAAATCGGCTTTTTACCAAATTACCATACAACAGACCACGTATTCACCCTGCACACCCTAATTGACAAACAAACAAACCAAAACAAAGGCAAAGTCTTCTCATGCTTTGTTGATTTCAAAAGAGCTTTTGACTCAATTTGGCATGAGGGTCTTCTATACAAATTGATGGAAAGTGGTCTTGGGGGAAAAACATATGAGATTATAAAATCCATGTACACAAAAAACAATTGTGTGGATAAAATTGGCAACAAACAAACACATTTCTTTTCACAGGGCCGGGGGGTGAGACAGGGATGCAGCTTGAGCCCCACCCTCTTCAATATCAACGGATTGGCGAGGGCACTAGAACATTCTGCAGCACCCGGCCTCACCCTACTAGAATCTGAAGTCATATGTCTACTGTTTGCTGATGATCTGGTGCTTCTGTCACCAACCAAGGAGGGCCTACAGCAGCACCTAGATCTTTTGCACAGATTCTGTCAGACCTGGGCCCTGACAGTAAATCTCCGTAAGACAAAAATAATGGTGTTCCAAAAAAAGTCAAGTTGCCAGGACCACAAATACAAATTCCATCTAAACACCGTTGCCCTAGAGCACACAAAAATACATACCTCGGCCTAAACATCAGCGACACAGGAAACTTCTACAAAGCTGTGAACGATCCGAGAGACAAGGCAAGAAGGGCCTTCTATGCCATCAAAAGGAACATAAAAATTGACATACCAATTAGGTCTGGCTAAAAATTATTGAATCAGTTATAGAACCCATTGCTCTTTATGGTTGTGAGGTCTGGGATCCGCTCACCAACCAAAAATCCACAAAATGGGACAAACACCAAATAGAGACTGCATGCAGAATTCTGCAAAAATATCCTCAGTGTACAACGTAAAATACCAAATAATGCATGCAGAGCAGAATTAGGCCGATACGTGCTAATGATCAAAATCCAGAAAAGAGCCATTAAATTCTACAACCACCTAAAAGGAAGTGATTCCCAAACCTTCCATAACAAAGCCATCACCTACAGAGAGATGAACCTGGAGAAGAGTCCCCTAAGCAAGCTGGTCCTGGGACTCTGTTCACAAACACAAACAGACCCCACAGAGCCCCAGGACAACAACACAATTAGACCCATGAGAAAACAAAAATATAATTACTTGACACATTGGAAAGAATGTACGAAAAAACAGAGCAAACTAGAATGCAATTTGGCCCTAAACAGAGAGTACACAGTGGCAGAATACCTGACCACTGTGACTGACCCAAAAATTAAGGAAAGCTTTGACTATGTACAGACTCAGTAAGCATAGCCTTGCTATTGAGAAAGGCCGCCGTAGGTAGACCTGGCGCTCAAGAGAAGACAGGCTATGTGCACACTGCCCTGAAAATGAGGTGGAAACTGAGCTGCACTTCCTATCCTCCTGCCAAATGTATGACCATATTAGAGACACATCTTTTGCTCAGATTACACAGAGCCAAATATTATTCGAAAATAAATCCAATTTTGATAAACTCCCATATCTACTGGGTGAAATACCACAGTGTGCAATCACAGCAGCAAGATTTGTGACCTGTTGCCACAAGAAAAGGGCAACCAGTGAAGAACAAACACCATTGTAAATACAACCCATATTTATGTTAATTTATTTTCCCATTTGTACTTTAACTATTTGCACATTGTTACAACACTGTATATATACATAATATGACATTTAAAATGTCTTTATTCTTTTGGAACTTCTGAGTGTAATGTTTACTGTTAATATTTATTGTTTATTTCACTTTTGTTTACTATCTACTTCACTTGCTTTGGCAATGTTAACATACGTTTCCCATGCCAATAAAACCCTTAAATTGAAATTGAATTGAATTCAGAGAGTTATAGAGCTGAGATATGAACTGAGGAGAGAGAGAGAGTTATACAGCTGAGATATGAACTGAAGAGAGAGAGTTATGGAGCTGAGATATGAACTGAAGAAAGAGAGAGAGAGAGTTATAGAGCCGAGATATGAACTGAAGAATTATAGAGCTTCTCCCAAATCACTCTCTACCCTTCCTTTAGGTCCTAACCCTAACCCTAACCCTTCCTTTAGGTCCTAACCCTAACCCTAACCCTAACCCTAACCCTTCCTTTAGGTCCTAACCCTAACCCTAACCCTTCCTTTAGGTCCTAACCCTAACCCTAACCCTTCCTTTAGGTCCTAACCCTAACCCTAACCCTTCCTTTAGGTCCTAACCCTAACCCTAACCCTTCCTTTAGGTCCTAACCCTAACCCTTCCTTTAGGTCCTAACCCTAACCCTAACCCTTCCTTTAGGTCCTAACCCTAACCCTAACCCTTCCTTTAGGTCCTAACCCTAACCCTAACCCTTCCTTTAGGCTAACCTAACCCTAACCCTTCCTTTAGGTCCTAACCTACCTCTAGGTCACCCTAACCTACCCTTCCTTTAGGTCCTAACCCTAACCCTACCTTCCTTTAGGTCCTAACCCTAACCCTAACCCTTCCTTTAGGTCCTAACCCAACCCTAACCCTAACCTTCTAGCCCTAACCCTAACCCTAACCCTTCCTTTAGGTCCTAACCCTAACCCTAACCCTTCCTTTAGGTCCTACCAACCCTAACCTTCCTTAGTCCTAACCCTAACCCTACCCTAACCCTTCCTTTAGGTCCTAACCCTAACCCTAACCCTTCCTTTAGGCCTAACCCTAACCCTAACCCTTCCTTTAGGTCCTAACCCTAACCCCTAACCCTTCCTTTAGGTCCTAACCCTAACCTAACCTTCCTTTAGGTCCTAACCCTAACCCTAACCCTTCCTTTAGGTCCTAACCCTAACCCTAACCCTACTCCTTTAGGTCCTAACCCTAACCCTAACCCTTCCTTTAGGTCCTAACCCTAACCCTCAGTCCTACCTAACCTTCCTTTAGGTCCTAACCCTAAACCCTAACCCTTCCTTTAGGTCCTAACCAACTAACCCTTCCTTTAGGTCCACCTAACCACCTCCTTTAGTCCTACCCTAACCCTTCCTTTAGGTCCTAACCCTAACCCTAACCCTTCCTTTAGGTCCTAACCCTAACCACCTAACCCTAACCTCCTTAGGTCCTAACCCTAACCCTACCTTCCTTTAGGTCCTAACCCTAACCCTACACCCTTCCTTTAGGTCTAACCCTAACCCTAACCCTTCCTTTAGGTCCTAACCCTAACCCTAACCCTTCCTTTAGGCCTAACCCTAACCCTTCCTTTAGGTCCTAACCCACCCCTAACCCTAACCCTTCCTTTAGGTCCTAACCCTAACACCCTCTTAGGTCTAACCCTAACCTAACCTTCCTTTAGGTCTACCCTAACCCTAACCCTTCCTTTAGGTCCTAACCACCCTAACCCTAACCCTTCCTTTAGGTCCTAACCCTAACCCTAACCCTTCCTTTAGGTCCTAACCCTAACCCTAACCTTCCTTTAGGTCTAACCCTAACCCTAACCCTTCCTTTAGGTCCTAACCCTAACCCTAACCCTTCCTTTAGGTCCTAACCCTAACCCTAACCCTTCCTTTAGTTCCTAATTCCTACTTCCTTTAGGCCTCCTTATCCAAGCACTTACCCAGGACCTTTTAGGGTCTAACCTCCTCCTAAGCACTTCCTAGTCCATACTAACCCTAATCCACTTACCTTAGGTCTCACCATACCTGAACCTTCCTTTAGGCCCAACTACCTAACTTCCTTTTTTTACTCTTTTTAGGGGTCCTAACCGAACTAACCCTACCCGTTATCCTTAAGATGGGTTTAAATGTCCGCAGGTTATAGACCTCCCTTCTAGGTCGTGACAGAGCTGTTCCACCTTGCTGCCAGAGCAGCGAACAGCTTTGACTGGGCTGAGCGGGAACTATACTTCCGCAGAGGAAGGGGAGCCAGCAGGCCAGAGGTGGATGAACGCAATGCCCTCGCCTGGGTGTAGGGACTGATCAGAGCCTGAAGGTACGGAGGTGCCGTTCCCCTCACTGCTCCATAGGCAAGCACCATGGTCTTGTAACGGATGCGAGCTTCAACTGGAAGCCAGTGGAGTGTGCGGAGGAGGGGGGTGACGTGAGAGAACTTGGGAAGGTTGAACACCAGACGGGCTGCGGCATTCTGGATGAGTTGTAGGGGTTTAATGGCACAGGCAGGGAGCCCAGCCAACAGCGAGTTGCAGTAATCCAGACGGGAGATGACAAGTGCCTGGATTAGGACCTGTGCCGCTTCCTGTGTAAGGCAGGGTCGTACTCTCCGAATGTTGTAGAGCATGAACCTGCAGGATCGGGTCACCGCCTTGATGTTGGCGGAGAACGACAGGGTGTTGTCCAGGGTCACGCCAAGGCTCTTCGCACTCTGGGAGGAGGACACAACGGAGTTGTCAACCGTGATGGCGAGATCATGGAACGGGCAGTCCTTCCCCGGGAGGAAGAGCAGCTCCGTCTTGCCAGGGTTCAGCTTGAGGTGGTGATCCGTCATCCATACTGATATGTCGGCCAGACATGCAGAGATGCGATTCGCCACCTGGTTATCAGAAGGGGGAAAGGAGAAGATTAGTTGTGTATCGTCAGCGTAGCAATGATAGGAGAGGCCATGTGAGGATATGACAGAGCCAAGTGACTTGGTGTATAGGGAGAAAAGGAGAGGGCCTAGAACTGAGCCCTGGGGGACACCAGTGGTGAGAGCACGTGGTGCGGAGACAGCTTCTCGCCACGCCACTTGGTAGGAGCGACCGGTCAGGTAGGACGCAATCCAGGAGTGAGCCGCGCCGGAGATGCCCAGCTCGGAGAGGGTGGAGAGGAGGATCTGATGGTTCACTGTATCAAAGGCAGCAGACAGGTCTAGAAGGACAAGAGCAGAGGAGAGAGAGTTAGCTTTAGCAGTGCGGAGAGCCTCCGTGACACAGAGAAGAGCAGTCTCAGTTGAATGACCAGTCCTGAAACCTGACTGGTTTGGATCAAGAAGGTCATTCTGAGAGAGATAGCAAGAGAGTTGGCTAAAGACGGCACGCTCAATAGTTTTGGAAAGAAAAGAAAGAAGGGATACTGGTCTGTAGTTGTTGACATCAGTGGGATCGAGTGTTGGTTTTTTGAGAAGGGGTGCAACTCTCGCTCTCTTGAAGACGGAAGGGACATGGCCAGCGGTCAAGGATGAGTTGATCAGCGAGGTGAGGTAGGGGAGAAGGTCACCGGAGATGGTCTGGAGAAGAGAGGAGGGGATGGGGTCAAGCGGGCAGGTTGTTGGGCGGCCTGCAGTCACTAGTCGCAAGATTTTATCTGGAGAGAGAGGGGAGAAAGAAGTCAAAGCATAGGGTAGGGCAGTGTGAGCAGGACCAGCAGTGTCATTAGACTTAACAAACGAGGATCGGATGTCGTCAACCTTCTTTTCAAAGTGGTTGACAAAGTCATCCACAGAGAGGGAGGGGGGGGGGGGGGGGGGGGGATTCAGCAGTGAGGAGAATGTGGCAAAGAGCTTCCTAGGGTTAGAGGCAGATGCTTGGAATTTAGAGTGGTAGAAAGTGGCCTCTAAGGTCCTAACCCTAACCCTAACCCTTCCTTTAGGCCCTAACCCTAACCCTAACCCTAACCCTAACCCTTCCTTTAGGTCCCAACCCTAACCCTAACCCTAACCCTTCCTTTAGGCCCTAACCCTAACCCTAACCCTTCCTTTAGGTCCTAACCCTAACCCTTCCTTTAGGTCCTAACCCTAACCCTAACCCTAACCCTTCCTTTAGGTCCTAACCCTAACCCTAACCCTTCCTTTAGGTCCTAACCCTAACCCTTCCTTTAGGTCCTAACCCTAACCCTAACCCTTCTTTTAGGTCCTAACCCTAACCCTAACCCTTCCTTTAGGTCCTAACCCTAACCCTAACCCTAACCCTTCCTTTAGGTCCTAACCCTAACCCTAACCCTTCCTTTAGGTCCTAACCCTAACCCTAACCCTTCCTTTAGGTCCTAACCCTAACCCTAACCCTTCCTTAAGGTCCTAACCCTAACCCTAACCCTTCCTTTAGGTCCTAACCCTAACCCTAACCCTTCCTTAAGGGCCTAACCCTAACCCTTCCTTTAGGCCGTAACCCTTCGATTGTTAGAGCCTCACACACAATATGTTGGAATCTCCACCACTACACTACTTATCCAGAGGACAGGGTAGACGCACTGTCTGAGACAAGCTCTGTCTCCCTCTAACCCTCCTCCTTTCCTCAGGGGCGGTTCCCTGTAACACCTCCCTACCTAACCCTAACCCCAAAACTCTACTGTGCTGTCCAGGGGCGGTTCCCAGCCCACTACTCCCTGGACATGCAGTCCCAGGGTAACCTCTCCTGTCTGGATAACAACCACTCCCACTTCTTACTGGTGGATGATGGAACACACGGATGCTACGGCGTCGAGGTTGAACTACGCTCCCGACTAGAGAGACTCATCTCCCAGCAGCCTCTGGGAAACAGAGGTGAGACTAGAGGGGCTCTGATTGTGATCAATATCTCTCTCTCTGATCTCTCTGTGTGTGTATCCTTGTCAAAGAAACATGAGAATCACAGCACCCCTTTGTCAATACTTCACTGTCTGTTATCTGCTGTCAGTCCCCCGTCTGTGTCTGTCTGTCTGTCTATCTATCTATCTATCTATCTATCTATCTATCTATTTGTCTGTCTGTCTGTCTGTCTGTCTGTCTGTCTGTCTGTCTGTCTGTCTGTCTGTCTGTCTGTCTGTCTGTCTGTCTGTCTGTCTGTCTGTCTGTCTGTCTGTCTGTCTGTCTGTCTGTCTATCTGTCTGTCTGTCTGTTTGTCTGTCTGTCTGTCTGTCTGTCTGTCTGTCTGTCTGTCTGTCTGTCTGTCTGTCTGTCTGTCTGTCTGTCTGTCTGTCTGTCTGTCTGTCTGTCTGTCTGTCTGTCTGTCTGTCTGTCTGTATGTCTGTCTGTCTGTCTGTCTGTCTGTCTGTCTGTCTGTCTGTATGTCTGTCTGTCTGTCTGTCTGTCTGTCTGTCTGTCTGTCTGTCTGTCTGTCTGTCTGTCTGTCTATCTATCTATCTATCTATCTATTTGTCTATTTGTCTATTTGTCTATTTGTCTATCTATCTATTTGTCTGTCTGTCTGTCTGTCTGTCTCCTCCAGAGAGTGGAGTGAGGATCCCAGCAGTGTGTGTAGTGCTGGATGGAGGACCAGGCACTCTCAGTGTGAGTATCAGCAGTGTGTGTAGTGCTGGATGGAGGACCAGGCACTCTCAGTGTGAGTATCAGCAGTGTGTGTAGTGCTGGATGGAGGACCAGGCACTCTCAGTGTGAGTATCAGCAGTGTGTGTAGTGCTGGATGGAGGACCAGGCACTCTCAGTGTGAGTACCAGCAGTGTGTGTAGTGCTGGATGGAGGACCAGGCACTCTCAGTGTGAGTATCAGCAGTGTGTGTAGTGCTGGATGGAGGACCAGGCACTCTCAGTGTGAGTATCAGCAGTGTGTGTAGTGCTGGATGGAGGACCAGGCACTCTCAGTGTGAGTACCAGCAGTGTGTGTAGTGCTGGATGGAGGACCAGGCACTCTCAGTGTGAGTATCAGCAGTGTGTGTAGTGCTGGATGGAGGACCAGGCACTCTCAGTGTGAGTATCAGCAGTGTGTGTAGTGCTGGATGGAGGAACCAGGCACTCTCAGTGTGAGTATCAGCAGTGTGTGTAGTGCTGGATGGAGGACCAGGCACTCTCAGTGTGAGTATCAGCAGTGTGTGTAGTGCTGGATGGAGGACCAGGCACTCTCAGTGTGAGTATCAGCAGTGTGTGTAGTGCTGGATGGAGGACCAGGCACTCTCAGTGTGAGTATCAGCAGTGTGTGTAGTGCTGGATGGAGGACCAGGCACTCTCAGTGTGAGTATCAGCAGTGTGTGTAGTGCTGGATGGAGGACCAGGCACTCTCAGTGTGAGTATCAGCAGTGTGTGGGGATGGATGGAGGACCAGGTCAGTAGTTTAATCATTCCTTTAGTTTCTTCAGCGTATTCTTTCTGACTGGATGGTCTTGTGCACTGTGTCAACCCTGGATGGTCTTGTGCACTGTGTCAACCCTGGATGGTCTTGTGCACTGTGTCAACCCTGGATGGTCTTGTGCACTGTGTCAACCCTGGATGGTCTTGAGCAGTGTGACTTCTGACCCCTGACCTCTCTTCCCACGCATCACCCCACCCCCATCTCAGACCATCTACGGTGCCATGCTGAATGGGACCCCGTGTGTCGTCCTGGAGGGGTCAGGGAGACTGGCGGACGTCATCGCCCGTGTGGCTGGTCTCCCTGTTACCAAGGTTACCCTGTCTGTCATCCACCAGCTAATGAAGAGGTTCTTTGGTCCGGAGTATGACTCCTTCACAGAGCTCAAGATCTTAGAATGGACCAAGAAGGTAACACATACATAGCCTCGTTAAACCAGCCTGATCTTGCGAGCTCACATTCTACAAAACGTGAGTGCAGCAGGCATTCTGGTTTCACAAGACTCGTGAATACATGGAGCTTCTTCTTAAAGCAGTTAGCTGGATTTCACCTCAAGCCTTTGTTTTGAGTACTGGAAGTGAATACTTTATACTGTAGCTGATTTTCAGTCCTTTATTCCAGATTCAGGACATCATCAGGATGCCTCAGCTACTGACAGTGTTCCGTATGGGTGAAGACAACCATGGGGATGTTGATGTGGCCATTCTCCAGGCGCTGCTCAAAGGTAACAGCCAGGCCTCGTGGCCTCCCAGAATAGCAGGTTGTTCACAGAGTAACACTGCTAATGGTGAGTACCCAAGCAGCACGTCAGAATAGTCCGCTTGATTTCCAGACTGTGCGTTAATGTTGAAACCTTAGACTCTTCTTTACTCTTCCTGGAGTTGATGATTGAGTTTAGGATGTCTCTCAGACTGAGACGTTCTGTAAATAGTCTCATTCATCATAATCTAGAGGAATCTGAGTGCCTCATCTGGACCTTCTGATGCATCATGGTGTCACGTTACCAGACTAATGCAGGCTGTCCCATTTAAAGCTATAAGCATGAGCATTACTGCTGACATCAAGGGCTAAATTATGCAGAGTAAGTCATTTTCTAAATTCCACTTTGGAAGAATGGTTTCCATATCGGTTTTGAACTGCAGACGTAACCTGATCAGCAACTGTTTGCCTTAGTTATAAGGTCCAGAGTTCAGGGAAACACCATGGCCCCAGTTCTAATCCAGGTGTTTCCCTCTCTCTCCTCCTCCCCTCCCAGCCAACAGGAGCAGTGATCTGTTGGGAGGGAGAGCTGGGAGAGACAGCTATAAATCTAACCCAACCCTGCGCCTAACCCAACCGTAACCGAACCCGAACCCGAACCCGAACCCGAACCGAACCCGAACCCGGCGCGCAACCCGAACCCGCGCGCGAACCCGAACCCGCGCGCGAAACCCGAACCCGCGCGGAACCCGAACCCGAAACCCGAACCGCGCGCGAACGCGAACCCGCGCGCGAACCCCGCGGAACCCGAACCCGCGCCGAACCCAAACCCGCGCGCGAACCCGAACCCGCGCGTAACCCGAACCCGCGCCGACACCCGCCGAGAACCCGAACCCGCGTCTAACCCAACCCTACTAACCCGCCCTCGCTAACCAAGAACCTAACCAGTAACCCTCTCTCTAACCCTAACCCTCTCTCTAACCCTAACCCTCTCTCTAAACCCTAACCCTCTCTCTAACCCTAACCCTCTCTCTAACCTACCGCTCTCAACCGAACCCTCTCGCGACGCCTAACCCTAACCCCTCCCCTCCCAGCCAACAGGAGCAGTGAGTCTGTAGGGAGGGAGAGCTGGGAGAGACAGCTGGAGCTAGCTGTAGCCTGGAACAGAGTGGACATCGCTAAGACTGACATCTTCACTGAGGATAGCCAGTGGAAGGTAGGGCCGGTGGGGGATTCCTTGACTCATGACGCTCTATTGAATCCTAATGGCAGACCGGGCGCCTGCAAGCTGGCTAGGGTAGTGAGTTGTACGGTGTCCCCTCCAACACATTGCTTCGGCCGACTTTCGGGCAGAGCAGTGTGTAAAAGAAGCAGTGAGGCTCTTCCAAGCCCTTTGGCACTACTCCGCCAGGGCTCTCACCTCCTCCCTGTAGGCTGTCTCGTCATTGTTGGTAATCAGGCCTACCACAATTGGATAACTACCCAATTGGATACCACGAAAATGGGGTATAATTTGATCAAAATAAAAAAAAACATTTTATGCGAGTAAAGTCATACTGTATAAAAAGAAAATCACGACAGCTGTGATGGAAATAGGACGTTTCGGTACAATTTCATAAATGACGACATGTTGGGATCTTTTTGTGTCAGTAAAATTAATAATGTGAGAAATGGCGGTGGAAAAGCCTTTATGAGCAAATATTGATATAATAACCATCATATTGAAGTAAACTTGGAGTCATGCGATGATATGTTGTGTGGTCCTCCCACTATGACTCGGGAAACCATGCAGTTCATGCTATTAGGATACAGAACAGTTTTGCGACAAAACTATTGGTAGATTTAAAAATGCGATGGAAACACATTGAACTTTAGATTTTTATTTGGTACATGAAAACTTCAGCGAAAAAGTACATTTTGTGTGCACTGTCATCACACACTGACTTTTATCTGCAACAACTCCGTTTGATGGAAACACACTGCGCATATTTTCTTTATTCGGATTTTAGAATATTCGCATGAAAATTTGTTGCCAGTTGGATGGAAACCTAGCTATAGACAGAATTCATATTTTAAAGGTAATTCCAAGATCACAGTATTATTGAAGAAATCCCTCTCCTCCTTTCCAGTCCAGTGACCTGCACCAGGCCATGTTCTCAGCCCTGCTGGGCCACAAGCCCCAGTTTGTCCGGCTGCTCCTGGAGAACGGAGTGTGTCTGAGACAATTCCTGGGGGACCAGACCACTCTGTGTGACCTCTACACCCAGCTTCCCACTTCCTGCTTCTTCCTGCGCCGCCTGGCCAAGCGCGTCCAGACCGAGAAGAGTCGACGGAGTCAGACCCTGAGTCCTCGAGGCGCTGCAGGGAGGATCATCTCTCTCAGTCACGTCTCGGATGAAATACACCACCTACTGGGCAGTTTCACCCAGCCCCTCTACCCCCCGCCTGGCCTGCACTCCACCAGGTACCCCAAGGAGGATGTAGCTGTCACAGTGAGTATCAGACCGTATCATACAGCATCGCCATGGTCACAGAATCATTGGATCTGGTGTGGTGTCATAATATCGTGGCCAGTTATTTAGATGTCTGGTGTAGCTGCCAGCTAGATATACTATATATATACTATATGTCTGCTTTCTGTAGCAGCCAGCTAGATATACTATATATACTATATGTCTGGTTTCTGTAGCTGCCAGCTAGATATACTATATATATACTATATGTCTGGTTTCTGTAGCTGCCAGCTAGATATACTATATATATACTATATGTCTGGTTTCTG